TTCCTGGCTAGATCTCAGTTTCTACTCCTTATATTAAGAACTCCTTTATCCAGGAGAGATTGATTGGACAAATTGGTTGGAGCCAGAGCCTAGATGGGTAACTTAGAAAAGCAGATTTTTAGGGGAAATGGGGAGTCTCTCTTTAACCATGGTACAGATACATTTATTTTATTTACTTTATTCTTGTAGGTCTGTTGCTAGCCCCTTGGAAATTGGTGTTATTGTTTTGTTTTGCTTTATTATTATTTTTAAACTATGAAAGCTTTGGGGATGGTATTTCTTCTTTTACTACTTAGGGCAACTCCCTCTCCTTCCCCTTCAACTCCTCCTCCTCCCATTTTTCTGAAAGTGATTTATCTCTTACTAAGAAAATTCAAATATAAGAAAGGGAATTCATTTCAGCCTAGTGTAGCCTAAGGACATAACTTAGAAAACAATATAACCATAAAAAATAACCAAGAAAGTTAAGTTCCTAAGTGATTTGTTGTAATGTAATAAGATGCTTTGAGAGCTGTTTTTATTTTCTATTGATGCTGTGACAAATTATCAAGAATGTAGTAGTTTTCTTACATTTAGGAAGGTCAGATGACCTACAATGAAGGTGTTGGCCGGTCTGCATTCCTTCTAGATGAAAGCTGAAGAGAAGAATCCCTTTATTTTATTTTAAACTGTTATTTTAAGTTCAGGGGCACATGTACAGGTTTGTTACATAGGCAAACTTGTGTCATGGGGGTTTGTCCTACAGATTATTTCATCATCCTGGTATTAAGCCTAGTGCCCACTAGATATTTTTCCTGATCTTCTCCCTCCTTCCACCCTCTACCCTCTGATAGGCATCAGTGTGTGTGGCTCCCCTCTATGTGCCCATAGTTCTCATCATTTAGCTCCCCCTTATAAGTGAGAACATGCAGTATTTGGTTTTCTGTTACTGCATTCGTTTGCCAAGGATAATGGCTCCAGCTCCATTCATGTTCATGCAAAGGACATTATATCATTCTTTTTTTATGGCTGCTTAGTATTCCATGGTGTATATGTACCACATTTTCTTTATCCAGTCTATCACTGATGGGCATTTAAGTTGTTTCCATGTTTTTTCTATTGTGAATAGTGCAGCAATGAACATACGCATGCATATGTCTTTATAATAAAATGATTTATATTCCTTTTTGTATATATCCAGTAATGGGATTGCTGGGTCAAATGGTCTGTCTTTAGATCTCCGAGGAATTTCCAAACTGTCTTCCACAATGGTTGAACTTGCCCCAACAGTGTATAAGTGTTCCTTCTTTTTTCACAACCTTGCTAGCATCTGTCATTTTTTTTAACTGTATAACAACAGCCATTCTGACTGGCGTGAGAAGGTATGTCATTGTGGTTTTGATTTGCATTTCTCTAATGATCAGTGATGTTGAGCTTTTTCTCATATGGTTGTTGGCCGCATGTATGTCATGTTTTGGAAGTGTCTGTTAATGTCATTTGCCCACTTTTTTACGAGGTTATCTGTTTTACTCTTGTAAATTTGTTAAAGTTCCTTACAGATGTTGGATATTATACCTTTGTCAGATGAAAAGTTGGCAAATATGTTTTTCCTATTCTTAGGTTGTCTGTTTACTCTGTTGTGCAGAAGCTCTTTAGTTTAATTAGATACCACTTGTTAGTTTTGGGTTTCACATTTAGGTAATCCATCTTGAGCTAACTTTTGTATATGGTGTAAGGAAGGGGTTTAGTTTTAATCTTCTACATATGGCTAGCCAATTATTCCAGCAGTATTTATTGATTAGGGAATCCTTTCCCTTTCTCCATTGTTTGTTTTTGTCAGGTTGCCCAAAGCAATTTATAGATTCATCCTATTGAACTGCCACTGAGAGTCTTCACAGAACTAGAAAAAACTATTTTAATTCATATGAGTCCCAAAAAAGAGCCCAAATAGCTAAGCAATTCTAAGAAAAAATGAAAAACAAAAAACAAAGCTGGAGGCATCATGCTATCTGACCTCAAACTGTACTATAAGGCTATGGTAACCAACAAAGCCTGGTAATGGTACAAAAACAGACACATAGACCAATGGAACAGAATAGAGAGCCCAGAAATAAGACTGCACACCTCCATTTCTTTGTAGTTTCTAGCTTCTCGAGGCCATCTGTATTCTTCAGCTTAGGCCAGCAGTGTAGCATTTTCAAATCTAAATCTCTCTCTATCTCTTTCTGTCTCTCTCTGTGTCTCTGAACTTGCTTCCGTCATCAGATCTCCTCCTATGACTCTGACTCTCCTGCTTCACTCTTTTCCTTATAAGGACTCTTATGATTACATTGGGCCCACCCAGATAATTCAAGATAATCTTCCTATCTCAAGATTCTTAAATTAATCATATTATACTATTGTGGTTCAGGGGTTCAGGGTGCCCTCAGCTCCCCTGAGAGGATGCTTCTCCAGGTTCTTGGTCTCCTGCCCTCCCAAGAATGAGAGAGGGGACCACAGTGCAGGGTGCAGTAAATGTTGGACTCAGAATAAATAAATCACTTGTAGAAAGTGATTTATTTAAAGAGAGAGAAATAGTAGAAGGAGAGAGAAAGAAACAGCTAACTCTCACACTGAGTAAGAGAATGCAGAGAGATGGAATCCAGGAGAGGAAAGCAGCTTCCACACTGAGTGGAAGGGAGTAGAGAGAGACTGATTTTAGGAGAGGGGAAGACAGGCTTCCATGAGAGAGTGTGGAAGGGGACTCCAGAGGGAAAATCCAGGAGAGAGGAAGACGGCTTCCATGAAGGGAGTGTTCATGGAAGGAGACCCAAACATGGAGTCTGAAGGGGTGTGGAAGAAGGGGACTTTTAACCTGGGAGGAACCCCAACCTTCTCTAAGACCCCTGGCCAATGAAAGGAGTTCCTTAGAACTTATGCTGGAGTGATTGACTCTTAGTTTCTTCCTGTGTCCTCGAAATTCAAACATAAACCATTAAATCTCCTGTACAGAGACAGATGGGAGGGGGGCATGGCACTGGGAAGTTCTTGCCCTTAAAACTACGCCCCCTTGTGGACCCGGAAAGAGAACACATACCCTCATTCCTCTGAACAAGAAAGAATCCATTCCCTCATTCCTGAACAGGAAAAGAACACATTCCCTCATCCCTAAAAAAAAAGAACACATTCCCTCATCCCTGAAAAAAAGAACACATTCCCTCATTCCTTTAAACAGGAAAGCCCAACTTCTGTTGGAATATGGGAGTCAATCCTCTTTAACTACTTCCTGCTGAAATGGGGTGTAGAAGGGGCCCTGCAGTTGAGGTGTCCTCCAGAGGGGAATCTTTCAGGGGTGCAGGCTGATCCTGAGGTCCACGATAGAGTTCATGAGCCAAGGACATCTGGGGTTTCAGCAACAGGATTATTTGGGACCTTATGATTCTATAAGAAATGAATGTGACAAGGTAGTTAAAGATGAGAGACCCAGAGACCAACAAATACAGATGGTTATATACAAGCCTCTGTGAGAATAGAGTCAGCACAGGCAGTTGTTAAACAAGCTTCACAACACTGTTTCTTAAAGGTTTTTAGCCCTGTGTTTGGTTTCTGAGTTCTATGTTCAAAACAATACTTGACAGGTTTACAAAATAGCAGCAATTTTCCTAGAAAGAGACAGGTTCCTTTCGTATTATGAAAAGAATAATTGGAGTTCAAGAGATAGCAAAGTTGAGGGTTATAGTCCTGTTAAAGCCAGGATATAAATTAGACTCATGCGTGGTTACTTCCCTGAAGATCTTGTGGGAAAAGCAGATGCAGAGCCTCTAAGGGCTCGCAGGTGGATGAAGGGTTGTCTCCTGGAACTTCAGGCTGCAGAGCGGAGGGTCTATGACTTTCCTTAGGAGGTGTCCAAGGCTTCGGCCGAGCGTGATGATTCCATGAGCTGATTCCCACCACCTTAATTGCCGTTGGAGTAGACAGAATAACAGAAAATGGTCCTTTCCAGGATGGACCTAGAGAGGGAGAGTCTGCGAGCAGAGAATTAACAAGCACCAAGTCTCCAGGGCAGAAGAGAAATACTGAGAAGGCCAGGCAGTGTCCAGGAGATGAACTTCCTGGACTTCCATGGTCAGCTTTCTCCGGGGTTCTGTGAGGGTGATGGCTCATGCTGGCACTTACTCCAGGCACCCTTAGTCCTGCCATTGGGTCACCTGGTCAGACACCTCAGGCCCTGGGGACCTTCATCCGCTAGGACAGTGTGCTTTCCAGTGATTCCCTTGGCACAGTGGGCATGGACGAGATGGTGGTCCATTCTCTGGGGATAATTTCTTATAAAATGTCCTTTCAGACTGCACTGGTAACAAGTTCTGCCAGACTGGAGGCTAACCTGAGCCTTTCCCTCATTTGAGCCCCTGGGGTCTGCTTGCCTGAAGGCCGTGACTCGGGCTGGTCTCTCCTGTTCCTTTCAGCCTGTTCTTTCTGGTCTCTATTATAAAACACCAAGGTTGCCTGGTGCAGTAATGATTCTAGACTCTGCTCTGGCCCCAAGGCCAGTTTCTGGAGCTTCTGCCTGATACCTGTTGCTAATAAACTTGTCCTTTAGTATTAACTGATCCTCTATGAAGTCTGGTGACGGGAGTGTACTTTAAGGCCTCCTGCAATAGCTCAAGGGAAGCTGTTGGGTTTTCTTCCCTTCCCTTTGGGGGCTAGATTTTCCACTCGGCAGAGGGCAGTTTGGCCATGCTGTTTGGCAGGGAAAAATAAGCCACTTCTTCCTTAAGGACCGTGTGCTAAATTGGTCCCAATTTTTCAGTATACATCTTAATGGGGACTTGAGCTTGGGAATAGAAGCACCCATCTGAAATGGAACACAAGAGATGCCCACACTCCCAGTTAAAGAAATTACAGTCGCTTCGACCTGTTGCATCCTCCAGGTAAAATGGGTACCGAAATGAAACGTCTTTCAGTCAGTACCTCGAAATTTCATGTGCCCAAGATGTGTGATCCATCTTATCAGAGGGCCTCCTATGTACTGGATGTGAATCATGACCTACCAGTGTCATAGGACCAGTCTCACTGCCTGCAGGACCTCCAGTGACTACCATAGAGGCATGGAACTAAAGGAGCCATTGGGTTGGGTAGTCACATACCAACGAGCCCCGATGAGGCCAGTGAGGCTCAGGAGATGGGTACCAATATTTCCCAGCACAAGTCCAATTTACACAGGCCAATTTATAAAACTGCCCCAGAAGGGTAAACTTCTAGGGAGGGGCCATTAGAGCACACAGCTCAAAGAAGGCAGGCCAGGCAGGGCTGAGGCCAGAACAACACCCTCCTCTCCCCTAACCCATTTTCCATTGTAAGAAAATGCTTTTAGGGATGCGAGAGCTACCATTAACCATTTGGGCCCTGGAACTGGTTTAACTATAATCTGCTAGATGGAAAAGTTCTGCCATGGAGGGAGAGCCAATCCTAAGCAAAACAAATTAGACACCAAACACAAAGTCCCACAGCCTTCGGCTTCTGGGAAGCCTTTGGGATATTTTCCCCAAAGTTTTCACCAATTCAACACTGGCTCCACCAGGAATTTGGACTAGCAACTCTTGCAGTTACAGGTCCTATGCCTTAACCCCTTTACCATTTTAGTCACTAGTAGCAAGGAAAGGCAGAAAGCTTTCTTAAGCTGTATTTTGAATAAGAATGCTGCACACTGAGGCTGGAGGCCTGCCTAAATGCCGGGTGGAGCTAACAGCCAGCAGCTGCTTCTTTTCTTTCACCTGATGCACCCATAGAAAAAAACTGCTTGCCCCTTTGGGTTTAAAAGCCTTGTTTACAGCTGCTGCTAGGCCAGCTTTGAGTACCCCTACCCTGGCGGCTTTTGGGTGCCATGTTGACCCCACCAGAACCTCGTGTGCTGTTGGGCCACTCCCCAAGCTGCTGCCCACATAGGGACCTGAGGCTGGCAGGTGAACGCCCTGGGGAAGCCTTTTTTACACTGCTGCCTGGGACTAGGGAGCTCCGGGGAGGCCTGCCAGAACCATGCACCAGGCTGCCACACTCCCGGGTTCCCTGTAGGCTCGGGCTGTACCTCGCCCCTCCCGGCTGTTTTCTCTAGCCAGTCTGCAGCTTCCTGCACAGCTGAGTTGCGGGAGATCCCCGTTCCCGTTCCAGGGGCTGGGCTGTTCCCAGCTGGCAAGAAGCGAAAGGCCCTGGGGGCAGGGAGCACCTGCTTTGCCCCACAGGCTCCCGCAGGTTTTGGTCCCAGAGATAATATCCAACGGATAGAGAAGGAGACAGAAAGCAGAGAGAGCGAGATTGAAGGTAAAAAAATGTGCTTTTAATTCTGGCTGGGCTGTGTCTGCTTAAGAGGGGCTGGGTCATACCTCCCAGGTGGTGCCACTCAGGTTCCCAGCAGCCCTGCCTTGCTGTGGCCGCTTCAGGTGTTCTTAAAGAGACAGGACAGAATGGGGCCAGTTTTACAATTTTGAAGTCTTCTTTTCTGGCTGTACCCCTCTCCTGGCTGGCTCACCAAAATGTAATATTGGGGTTCAGGGTGCCCTCAGCTCCCCTGAGAGGATGTTTCTCCAGGCTCTTGGTCTCCTGCCCTCTCAAGAATGAGAGGGGACACGGCATAGTGCGCAGTAAATGTTGGGCTCAAAAATGTTTGTAGAAAGTGACTTATTTAGAGAAAGAGACAGGAGAAGGAGAGAGAAAGAAACGGCTATATCTCATGCTGAGTCAGAGAATCCAGAAAGATGGAATCCAGGAGAGGAAAGCAGCTTCCACCCTGAGTGGAAGGAAATAGAGAGAGATGGAGTTTAAGGGAGGGGAAGACAGGCTTCCATGAGAGTGTGGAAGGGGACTCCAGAGGGAAAAATCCAGGAGAGAGAAAGATGGTTTCCTCGAAGGCAGTGTTCATGGAAGGGGACCCAAACATGGAGTCTGAAGGGGTGTGGAAGAAGGGGACTTTCAACCTGGGAGGAACCCCCACTTTCGCTAAGACCCCGGGCCAATGAAAGGAGTTCCTTAGAAATTCCGCCGGAGTGATTGACTCTTAGTTTCTTCCCGTGCCCGTGAAATTTAAACATGAACTGTTAAATCTCCTGGATGGAGAGAGATGGGAGGGGGACATAGCACTGGGAAGTTCTTGCCCTTAAAACTATGCCCCTGTGTGGACCTGGAAAGAGAACACATTCCCTCAATATCTGTAAAGTCTCTTCTGCCATGCAAGATAGCATATTCACAGGTTCTTGGAATTGAAATATGGGCATCTCTCTTGGTCCATTTGGGCTGTTATGGCAAAATACCTGAGACTAGATAATTTATAAACAACAGAAATTTATTGCCCACAGTTCTGAAGGCTAGGGAGGCCACATCTAGGTGCCAGCAGATTTGGTGTCTGGTGAGGACTCTCTGCTTCGTAGATGGTGCCTCTTTGCCACATCCTGACATGGTTAAGGGCAAAAGGGGCAGACACGTTTCCTCAGACTTCTTTGATGGGGCATTAATCTGATTCACGAGAGCTCCACCCTCATGACCTAGTCATCCTCCCAAAGAGGATCCCCAAAGGGGATCTCCCCTCCCAACACATAGGGGATTCGGTATCAACATGTGAATTTTGTAGGGACATAAACATTCAGGCCATCTTTGGGTCGAGGGGGATCATTATTCTGTCTACACACAGGGCTCTTTTTGATACTTAATTTCTTTGGACGTTTATTATACCAATGATTTATGTTGTAATGTAGATCCTAGAATTCTAAAAAGATTTAGTTAATATTTGATCAAATTTTACCAATTAGATTTGATTCACATTTTACTGAGCCCACATATGAAACAGTGTTTTAAATGTCAAATAACTGTAATAGTGAACCAGTCATATGTATATGAGTGGTTTCCTGATTTTTCCTTTCACATAATATTGACAGTCATTTCCTTTAACTGTCAGAATTAATGCATTAATTTTGCTAAGGGCCTGAAAAATTTTAGAGACCATCAGTTAATTGTTAAGACCTTAATGTGGTGAGGTCTCTGAAACTGATAAAAGTAAAATGATTTACATAAATTAAAATGTTGCAATATTTTAAATATAAATGTCAAGAACTGTAATGGGTATAAGAATTTACTGTACTTGCAAGTTAACATGTTAACTTGCTACAGTTTCATGGATGCTGGTTGAAGACATGGGATTCCCAGGTCAGAGACAAAAGAAAGTTTATTACAGCAATGGCTGTAAGTAGCCAGAGTATCAGCATTTTTACCCTGATTTCCAGTTTCCACAGGGTAATGTAAAGAGGGCCAGATGACATCTGAACAATTAGTGGGTTGTGTTATGTAACAGTAATGTTGGATGTAGAGAAGCTAAATTTTGTATAAGATTCTGGTCTTCGCTCTAGAGGGAGACATTCTCTCTCTTCTAAGGCTATTTAATATGCACACATCCTTAAAAAATAGTCTGGAACTAACAGAAGTCAGTTCTTTGCTTATAAAACATGCCAAACATGAGGGAACCATGGAGAATTGTTTCCCAACAACAGATAGGTCAATTTTTTTTCTTAAAAACCAAACCTTTTAGGCGAATATTCCTGATAAGCCTCAAATTGATTACGTCTTGAAGTAAAATCTTATCTCACCTCAAACTCCCTCCCTCTCCTTTGTTCTCTTCCTTTCCTTTCCTTTTTTCTCTTTTCTTCTTTCTTTCTTTCTTTCTTTCTTTCTTTCTTTCTTTCTTTCTTTCTTTCTTTCTCTTTCATTCATTCATTCATTCGTTCTTTTTTTTTTTTGAGAAAGGAGTCTTGCCCTGTTATTCAGGCTATAATGTGGTGGTGAGATCATGAGTCATTGCAGACTTGACCTCTGGCTCAAGCAGTCCTGCCCCCTTAGCCTCCCAAGTAGCTAGGACCACAGACACATGCCACCACATTGAACTATTTTTTAATTTTTATTTTTAGAGAGAAGGGAGTCTCACTGTGTTGCCCAGGCTGGTCTTAAACTCGTGGGCCCAAGTGATACTCCTGCCTCAGCCTCCCAAATCACTGGGATTACACGTGTGAGCCACTGTGCCTGGCTGATATCAACTATTTACATTATACATTAAAAAATATTTTAAAAATAGCCTTTATTTTATGAGATTATTGTAGCACTAGATGATAGTGCTTTTAAAAAAATTATTTTGGTTACACAAATAAGTTCTTTAGTGGTGATTTCTGAGATTTTGGTGCACTCCTCACCTTAGTAGTATACACCTTAGTAGTGTACACTCCCCTGAGTCCCAAAAGTCCATTGTATCATTCTTATGCCTTTGCATCTTCATAGCTAGCTCCCACTTATGAGGGAGAACATATGATATTTGGTTTTTCATTCCTGAGTTACTTCACTTAGAATAATGGGCTCCAAATTACATCCAAGTTGCTGCGAATACCATTTTTTTTTTTTATGGCCGAGTAGTAGTCACATATATATATACAGTTTTCTTTATCCACTTGTTGATTGATGGCATTTGAGCTGGTTCCATAGTTTTGCAATTACAAATTGTGTTGCTATAAAAATGTGTGTACAAGTATCTTTTTTTGTATAATGACTTTTTTTCCTTGGGGTGAATACCCAGGAGTAGAATTGCTGGATCAAAGAACTAAAAGTTCTTTAAGGAATCTTCACACTCTTTTCCACAGTGGTTGTACTAGTCCACGTTCCCACCGACAGTGTAAAAGTATTCCTTTTCATGACATTCATGCCAATATTTATTATTTTTTGATCTTTTGGATTATGACCACGCTTGCAGAAGTAAGGTGGTATTGCATTGTGGTTTTGATTTGCATTTCCTGGATCATTAGTGATGTTGAACATTTTTTCATATGTTTATTAGTCATTTGTATTTCTTCTTTTAGAACCATCTATTCATATCCTTAACCCACTTTCTGATGGGATTGTTTTTTTCTTGCTGATTTGTTTGAGTTCCTTGTAGATTCTGGATATCAGTCCTTTGTCAGACATACAGATTATGAAGGCTTTCTCCCACTCTGTGGGTTGTCTGTTTACTCTGCTGATTATTTATTTTTCTGTGCAGAAGCTTTTTAATTTAGTTAAGTCCCACCTATTTATGTTTGTTTTTGTTGAATTCACTTTTGGGTTCTTGGTAATGAAGTCTTTGCCTAGGCCAATATCTAAAAATAGCCAAAGTCCTAAAATGCTTAGGAATATACTTAATCAAGGAGGTAAAAGACCTCCACAAAAGAAAACTACAAAACACTGCTGAAAGAAATCATAGGTAAACAAAAGGAAACACATCCCATGTTCATGGATGTGTAGAATCAACATTGTGAAAATAACCATACTGCCAAAAGCAATCTGCAAATTCAATGCAATTTTCATCAAAATAATACCATCATTCTTCACAGAACTAGAAAAACAAATTATAACATTTATATGGTACCAAAAAAGAGCCCACATAGTCAAAGCGACACTGAACAAAAAGAACAAATCTGGAAGTATCATATTACCTGACTTCAAACTATATATACTATATAGTTCAATCTCACTGAAGGCCATAGTCACCAAAACAGCATGGTACTGGTATAAAAATAAGCATATAGACCAATGGAACAGAAGAGAGAACCCAGAAATAAAGCCAGACACTTACAGTCAACTGATCTTTGACAAAGCAACAAAAACATAAAGTGGGGAAAGGACACTCTATTCAACAAATGGTGCTGGGATCATTGGCAAACCACACGTAGAAAAATGAAACTGTATCCTTGTTTCTCACCTTACACAGAAATCAACTCAAGATGGATCAAGGACTTAAATCTAAGACCTGAAACCATAAAAAATCTAGATGATGACATATTGGATAATAGTGCTTTTGTAAACTGCCCTGTTTAGCATAATAAAGCTTGTCAATCCTTTGTGAAACCCTCAGATTTAGAAATATTTCACTGGCCTAAATCAAAATTTCCGAGACTCTCAGAAAGTATTCCTATTCCCTCTTAATTGGAATGTCCATCTCTAGGTGCTTTTACTTCAAAGATATTTTTTGCAATCTTTTCTAAGAGTATTTCTGTGATATTCCTTATAGGTTGGAGGAGACCTTTTCACACAGTGACTTTTGCAGACTTGGGTTATTCTTTCCTGAAGTACACAGTAAATTCTTCATTTTCTAACCTGAACTTAAACACTATATCATATTTGAACTTTTAAAAGCACATGACTCTCTTCCCAAGCCAGGTAGAATTGTTCTCCTCATCCAACTCCCCCCGCCATGTCCCCCACAAATATAGTTAGTACACATATAGAATGTGTTTGTATCATTCCATATAGAATGG